AAAACTAATTCAAAAAAAGGTTTTATGCTCTCTTAAGGTGGTTTTTGCCATGTGTGAAAAAGGGTTAATGTGAATAATGGAAGATGGAAACGCATTTACCGAATAAATTCCTCCATACGTATCAAAAAAGTAATGTGACTTTGAGCTATGGAACAGCACAAACTTACTAACCAGCAGACCGATCTCTTTGCACAGCATCTGAAATGTTGTTAAGGTCATTCTTAAATGCCCGAGCAAAGTCTGTTGTCAAAGTATCTCTGTATAACGGCCTCCAAGAACTGTCTTACTCGACTGTGTTCCCAAACATCTTACTATGTTCCTGGGCCTGGAACATGGTAGTTCCATTGCTGTCTATGCAGGATCAGAAAGCTCTTGGATTTCATCAAAAATATCTTAATTTGTGTTCCAAATATGAACAAAGGTCTTATGGGTTTGGAACGACACGAGGGTGAGTAATCAATGAGATCATTTTTATTTTTGGGTGAACTATCCCTTTAAATGTGCCACTTTGGATAGAAACCCAGCTACTGTGTCCTCTCCATCCCTGTACCGTTGTAACTGGGAAAAAAAAAATCCGCTCATAAAATTATTTGTTAATACCAAATCAATACATGGATGCAACAGAGTGATAGAAACATATATCAAAGCATGTCTATTATTGTAAAAATGTGAAAAAGTTTTACCCAGCTAAATTAAAGCAGAAACACACCATCTGTGAAAATGGTCCATTCTACAAAGGAAGTGCTTAACTTTTATATTACTTTTAAAATTTGTATTGTGTCATACTATATTGTTTTGATGTGCAATATGTAATTGTTGCTTATATAACAGTTTCTGGAAGCACTGCTAGTGCCTTTGTTTTTCTCTTTAATATAAAATCATAAAAGGAGAAATAAAAAAATAAAAAAATAAAATCATTACCTTTCTGAAAAAGATGAATTGTAACTTTTACCCTTAGGGCAACTCTTTTTACATTAATTTTAAAGATGTTTTTGAAAACATAGCTTGCTAAAAGTAAAGAGACATATACTAGCTAGACATTGTTAAAGGCACATTCATAGAAAGCAGTAAGAACAGCTGAGTAGCACAAGAGGCAAAGCTCTAAAACACGACAGGAAGAAGCATTAAACAGGTGAAGTAAAATACAGTAGGTCTAAACATGTTGATTTTTTTTTTTTTACTTGTTTTATTGTATTGTTGTACATATTGTACTTATTAAGTAAAAAGTATTTTTCTTTTACTTCTGACAATTAAAACATTTGATTTCCTAAGACTTTTGTATTACTGATGCCACAAATTTGTAAAGAACCTGTCAGACACAGCAGATGTTAAACTGAAAACAATATTCTGACATGTGTTTATATTTTCAGCTAAAATTAGCAGCAGATGACTTTACAATGGTTTGAAATTTTGAATCTAACAAAGTTAAACTTATATGGGTATGATGACTTGGTGTGATAGTGACATTAGGGTAGAGACAAATGCAATTTCTTTATTTTAAAATCATTAAGGACATATTGAAGTAATTATGACATGTATAGGCTACTTTGTACTTTTAAGTCCACATGAAACTGTAATAGAGTAAAAAGTATTTAATTTATTTGTGTGTTTGTTTGTTTGTTTGTTTGAGTCAAAAAATATTCAGGTTTTATTAGAAAAATTAGTTTTATTGTAAAAAGTGCTATATAAATAATGGTGACTTGACTTGATTAGAACTCAAATGTAGTACAGATCAGTGGCGCCTGCAGGTGTACGGCTGTATGCACTGTGCGTACCATGAGCACTCATACTGACCTGAGATTTGCCCCGCAAACATTTCAGCAGTTATTATATGTGTCCCGTATTTCTGTAGACTGAACCAGCCATGCCATTAATTATAAATTTACGTTCGAACCGCACTCTTTTTGTTTCTCCGTTAGTAGCCAGATCTCATGAAAATGTGTATCAGTAGCACAATTTTCTGCACGCCAAAGTCAATTTAAAGAAAACAAATAGGGTGTGCTTTCAGCCTTCTCCGTTCCCTTCCGAGGGAACTTCGAACTGCGTCCTCTAGCGGTCCCTATGGGGAAAGCCTCCAGCGTGACCGGTGTCTGAAACATACATCTAAACAAGACAATAACATTGGCCGGCGACAGCCTATGATGTCACTACCGGCACAACCACTGTATAAAATGACGCCAGGAGAATACGTCATCCTCTTCTTCGTCTTCACTGACTGTTTGTTTATGTTAGCAGTAAGCTAAGCACGGCTAGGAGTGCATGTTCTCTCACCAGAGGCTTTGCTCTGTTACCCGCAGTTTCACACGGCTTAAGTGTTGTGTGTGTCTGGTGAAGAGCAAGCACGTTCAGCTCTCGAGGGTGTTGATTGTGCTCGTTGCATTCATTGCTTATTTCTTGTGAGAGATAAGCATGAATTGAACGTGCTCGACTCATGAGGAGACGGCTCGTGCTCATCGTGATTCATTCGCAGGAGTACTGATAGGGGAGGTGAGTACTTCACTATTTACCCGAGTTTGTAGACGCTCCCGAGAACTCCATGTGCAGCTATACCAAGCTGTCAGGCCCGTCTCTGTCGCCTCCTTGGTCAGTTGCCTCTATAGTTGGAGCCTGCTCCTCCCGGACAGAACGTGTGATTCCCTTCGCAGCTGAACCCCTTTCCTAGTGCCCATTTGCGGTCAGCCTACGTCTCTGAGCATGGTAGTGCTCCCCTCTCTGCGGGATGGTCATCTGTGAGCTTGCCGCTCCTAAGCAGAACATGTGAGTTCTCCTCTCTACCGGAGAGCTAAGAAGTCTGCCCCAGGGTTATAGACCGCTCTTTCTGGTTGAGCTGAGTTATTCCTCTCCCTGAGCTCCCTCAGGCAGCCATACCAGGTCATCAGGCCTTCTTTCCTCCCTGCAAGGCTGCCCTTATGGGTGAGCATGGCGTTGCCCGGCTCACTCTAGAGGGTTACCTATGAGCATGCTGTTTGTGTCTCCCTCTCATCCCGAGTGTTGAGTTCTCTGCTCCCCAGGGCTCCGTGAGTCAGCAACACCAGGTGCTTAGACCCCCTTTCTGCTTCCCTGATATGCTGCTCTTGTGGTTAAGCTTGTAGTGCTCCCCTCACTCTAGAGGGTCATCAATGACCATACTGCTACTCGAGTCGAGCATTGTAACCGCCTCTCAGTTTGAGAGCTGGGTGCCACGCTCCTTCAGTTATGTACGAGCATAATGCACCGGAGCCTGTCCTGTGACTGTCATGACTGAGTGGCGATGCTCCCCTCATATGGAGGGTCTTTTCAATGAGATACGCTATTCCCAATTCTCATGCGCTCTGGGTATGTGCACTTCCGAAGACTGAATTAAGTAACTGCTTCCTGAGTGTATCACAGTCACATAGCGCTCCTAGGCCTGTCTAGGAAGCAGCCCCAGTAACTGTGCTTCTTAAATCCATGTTATGGCACACACTGAGCTTCTGTGCACTTTCTAAAATCCACATCGTGGTAAGTGTGCACACTAGGCACCTTGCGCACTTTTCTAAAATCCTGTATGGTATGGGTTATGTGCTGCCAGCCTCGTACCCTTTCTCTGAGTTGGTTCAGGACCCAGTTTTGCCTTGGGCCCCACTCCACTTGAGCAGGGTGCTGCTACCAAGGATCTGTCAAGTCAGTTCCTTTGAGCAATACTCATCCAGAGCTGACGGTAGCACCCTGGGTGACAGGCCAGGGTCCAGTTATGGTCCTAGATGCTTGGCCGTATCCCCTTAAAGGGATCTCTTTGTTCCTGATTCCAAGCCTTGAGTTCTGCCCTGGGTTCAGGCTTTCTCAAGCCCAGCCCTTAACAGGTGAGTTCTTTGGGGTATGCAGCTCAGGCCTTTGGCTGAAGGGGATAATGTCACTGACAGCTGTCAGGGCATCCCAGGGGCAACTCCCATTATGTTGGTAGAGTTGGTACTTAGTGCTCGCCTTAGTGCTTGGCATGCACTCCCCTCAGCATGGCAGCATGGGTATACCTTTCCCCATAGCGACCGCTAGAAGATGCAGTTTGAAGTTCCCTCGGAAGGGAACGTCTCAGGTTACGTATGCAACCATGGTTCCCTGAGATTGGAACGAGACACTGCATCCTCTAAAAGCTTTGCCATACTTCGGATACGAGCTTCAGACAAAAAAGCGGATGACGTATTCACCCGGCGCCCTTTTATACTGTGGTCGTGCCAGTAGTGACATCATAGGCTGTCGCCGGCCAATGTTATTGTCATGTTTAGATGTAGGCTTCAGACACCGGTCACGCTGAAGGTGTTCCCCATAGCAACCGCTAGAGGATGCAGTGTCTCGTTCCCTTCTCAGGGAACCATGGCTACATACGTAACCGAGATGTTTCCTTGAACTTGCAGCTCTATCACAAAAATGAAACGGAACTCGGTGTAGACTTGTCGTGCAGTTTTTTTTATTTGGTTTGGTTAATATGTTCGTTATTCAAGTGAAATATATTAGTTTAGGACTGTTTATTTTATTCATTTTATATATGCTGTTTTATTCTGTTTTTCTCCCTACACAGAAGGGCTGCAGGTGTGTGATGTGACGATGTGTGAATCCTTATAGTTCTGATGTTTGTGCTGCTATTTGCGCATGCACTAACTTTGAATTTAATTTAAATCTAATTTAACGTTCTGATTTTGTTGGTTAACGGTTAGTGATAGGGAATCGGGAATATCCACTTTAGAGCCCTACATTTCAGCCTGGGCCCAACGGGCTCCGACTTATTTATGCCTTTTGGTCGAACTTCGGGCCAATTTTCACGTCATAGCTCAGACGCGGGCCGGGCATCGGGCCTGTTTTAGGCTTCTCCTTATTTTTATATTTAGACAAACATCAATTATGGTGATAAAAAAATTTTGCTGCACTGGTGGAAACACCACGAGACCGTGCTACTGCGACTGTTAAGAGCAGCTCGACGGTGTTTAGTGTCCCGCAGCAGCAGCAGCAGAGTGTGTGCCTTTAGCGCATTTGGAAGAGGTTTCAACTCACTGTCTGCTGCTGGTCGCTTAGTCATTACTTAAAAAAAAAAAAAAAAGCTTGCATTTAACGAACAAAAAATGCTCCCAACAGTTTTCTAAATTGACTCAATAAAAACCGAAAAATAATTGAAAGATTGATTCCCCAAAACAATGCATAAGTAGTGAAGTACTATTACTCAAACACTTCATACCCCTGTTTGAAAAAAAAAAATCAATAAAAGGAAACCTTAAAGTCATATTTCGCTATGAATAAAAAAATCAATGAGGATTGTCCAATTTAAAATCTGGGTCCTGGTATATGTAAGATATAATGACGGGTTATTTTGGAGCTTAACCTAATAACCTCAGAACACATCCTGGTATCATGTCTTTAACTTTAACTCCCTTTAACTTGTTCATAAATATTTACATAAAGCATTAATACATTAATACAGTTTGATGAAACCCTGGATATCCTTAGTGTTCTATGTTTTATCAGTGCAAAACATTCAGATGCAGAAAGCATGATGCAGTAAACAGTTAACAGTGGCACTTTTTACTTGCAAACCGCTGTTATCTGTAATGAAACGCCCACTGGAGAGACTTTGTCATGCTGCTGACAGATGCAGTAAAAGGGGACATGGTGTGCGCACAGCGGTTTAAAGAACAGTGCAATCGCGATGTGCCAACACAACAATCCCTGCTGTGTCTCAAGAGTTGGCTTTAAAATGATAGCATCCACAATGTTTTATCACACTCTCTGTGACAGGCATTGCCAAAGAGGGGATATTAATGATGCTCTGTTAGTGTGAAGAATTGACCCTGTAGTTCAGTGTGTCGTTTAGATAGTGCTTTCTACCAGGAGGTTATCTGCAGCATGATTAAAATGTATTTTCCCATTTTGAAGGTGTTTTGGACGAAGTAAGTTATAGAACAATACACTGCATTATTCCTGATAAAGGTTAAGTCTATCAAGCCTTCATCTAATTATTAGTTTTGGTCCAAAACCAAGTGAGCATGCATAGGCGGCATCCAAAATAGTCGTAGCCTCAGACGACCATCAGATGGATATTGCATTCAAAACTGGAAAGCGCTTATCAACTGGCGAGCTCTAATCTGATTGACTGGTTTTACGTGACCTCTGCCGGTTTCATCCAGATCAGAAAGCTGAGATTTTCCAGCTTCCTATTTGGAAAAATACAATTTGCAAATGCCACGTGAAAACTTGTGTAGACATCCATAACTCTGATTTTGCAGGTGTAGAATTAAAAGCAAACTTAATGGCACCAGTATGTGTACAGTTAATTGAAAATGTTTACTTTCAAGCAAATTAAATGAATAAATTAGTCAATGTTCTTACATTACATGATAATAAATCTGATCGAGACTTTTTGCTTTAAATGAATGGTTATTGTCATGGTGTAAAGAACAGAAACTGCTTTTTGTTAATAATTGGAATCTTTTCTGGGAGCGTTCTAGGCTTTTTTGTGCTGATGGCCTGCACCCCAGGCAGAGTCGGAGCAGAAATACTGTCGGACAACATCTCCAGGACGCTACGCACCATATGACTAGTAAGTCAAATACTTGCCTATAAGGCCCTTAATGGGTTAGCTCCTGCATACCTAACTAGTCTTCTACCATGCTAGAATCCATCACGCTCCCTAAAGTCGCAAAACTATGATTACGTCTTTAATGGATTTTTCCATACATTTCTGCCATATGTAAATTAACTGACAGTCACCAATAATAAGCTACCACTAAATATTGTAGAAACTTAATTTGCTGTAAAGTTGCTTTGCAACGATTTGTATCGTGAAAAGCGCTATACAAATAAACTTGAATTAATAAAAACTGTTTAAGAGAGACGGGGGCGATAAAAACAGTAATTTAGCTTTTCTGTTCATAATTTTACACCTGCAAAACAAATGTTAGCACTGCATAGTAGGGATGTGCATCTTGTGACTCAGGCCGATACGATACACATCTCGATGCATAGCCAATGATACGATACATTAAAGATACATATGAAGCAGCTACCAATGCGATGCGATACGATTCACCCGTTACAATGCAGTGCGATCATATTCCGATTCGATTCAACACAATGCGATTCCATGCAATATGATGCAATGGAGAAAATATGATCACTTTTAATGGCTCGAGGCCTGTTTCATAAAACAAGTTTACCAAATAAGCCAGGCTTATTTCAGTTAGTCTGACTCATTGTCAAATTATTTGGTTCCATAAAGAACTAAATTTAACATAGGCCTAGATCAAGCTTAGTCACTGTGGCAACTTATGCTGGGAAACTAACCTTGTCTAAAGTAGGCTAGCTGTCAGGCTAAGCTAAGTTCCTCTAACATTGACCAATAGCAATCCAATGATATTACTACTCTCTCACATACTAATATTTGACTTTTTTTTTTTTTTACAGTTTCTAGCCATGCAGCCTTTCTCTCTGGTTTTATGACAGCTGTACCTTTTATAGTTTGCAGAACAGAAAGCAAAACATTAGACCATTACAATCTAAAATTGCTCTTTAAAGCATTAAAATAACTAAATTAAAAGTTAAAATCACTGAATTAAAAATGAAAATAAAAAATAAAGAAAATTACTATATTTAAGAAACACACCTTAACTCATCTGAGCTTAGTAATTAGGACTGTATTAGCTTACATTTGATTTACCTATTACAATACTCCCTTTACAGTTACTGCTATCATAAAATACACTTTATATGTAGGTTTAACATTCTACAATTCTACAATGTCTGCATGCGCGCAGCAGCGCTCGTTCACTCGCATATCCCTCACCCACTACTGATAGCAAAATGGATATATTGTCATGAATTTCTAAAATGTACAGATGAAAAATATACCTGTGACATGTCAGTTATGCACTGAGGAAGACACAACGTCTCAAATGCATTAAACAGCACAAATATATTCGCTGTTAGCCATGGTGGATCAATTTGATCCATGATCGACATTAAGAGCTGCTTAAAAATAAACTTGCACAAATTAGTGAGATTTTTTTTCTTTCTTTCTAAATAATAAAAGTGTAGTGCATCGACTAGTAATTATATATAAATAAATATTTTTTTACCAATGCAAATATGTTATATCTATAAATGCCAACTTGTATCGGATGCACACTTTTTAAACCGATGCATCGCATCGTTAACTTTTTATGCCGATGCACCGAGCGAATCGGGGAATCTTCCCATCCCTACTGCATAGTTGTCAGACTCTGTTCCATGTTTTGTCTGTGTCTTGCTCCCCAGGTGTTTCTTATGTTGATTTCTTCCCAGGTGTTTCCCATGTTTAATTTCCAATGATCCCAGGTGTGTCTCCTTAGTCCCTCGTCATCCTGTGTTTAAAAGTCTGAGTCCTTTGAGTTAGTGTTGTCCGGTATTGTTTGTGAATGTCAACTCCCTTGTGCTACGTGTGATTCCCCGCGATGTAAATAAACTCCTTGGTTTGTACTCCTGGTCTCCTGGTTTCCTCGTTCCGTGCTCCTCACAGTAGCAACCCGTGACAGAATACCGGACCAAAACAGAAAGTGAGCGGCGACTTTTTCCTCGCATTTGTTTTTCCGCCTTGTTGAATAGTTTTTGTTTTCTTTGGTTTTTCCCCCCGCGGCTATGGAAATTGCCGCTCGCTTCTCCGCCCTAGCTCGACTCGATCTCCCCTTCTACGAGTATGCCAGGGAGTTCTGCAAGCTCGCCGCGGTGAAGGCGTTAGAGGACGCCGTCCTTAATCAGCTGTTCTGGCTCGGGGCCAACTACCATCGCCCCGTGGACCTCCCAGACAACACTGGACTGAATTGGAGGGAAGGTGTTTTCCGGTGTCTGGGGAGTGTCTGGTCCGGAGCCAGAACCAGTCCGCCGCCGACCGCGGCTCCCCCAAGTCAGCCAGCAGTTCCCGAGTCAAGCCAGCCGGCAGTTAAGGTGGCAAGCCCAAAGGACGTTAAGGTGGCAAGCTCAAAGGACGTTAAGGTGGCAAGCCCAAAGGACGTTAAGGTGGCTAGCCCACCAAGTGTTCATGTGGGCCCAGTGTCGGTTCCAGCCCCAGTGCCTGCTCCTCGTAAGCGCCTTCCAGAGCGCCTCCCAGTGCCCGCTCCTCATAAGCGCCTTCCGGAGCGCCCTCAAGTGCCCGTTCCCCCAGAGCTCGCCCAAGAGCTCGCTCCAGTGTCGGCTCCAGCGCCAGAGCTCGCTCCAGTGTCGGCTCCAGCCCCAGAGCTCGCTCCAGTG